AAAATATTTCCCTACAAATTAAAAAAAAAACCTATTACTATCTATATGTAATAAGATATTTTATATGTTTATTGTATATAATACATACTTTATTATATACCTTCTGAAATTGTTAGACATTAGATCTTGATAATGCATTACCTAAAACCCGTGAATCATTGACACTTCCTTCCTAGCCAGCTAAAACATATATAAACTTTAAATCAAAAGTTATAGCTGCTCAAATATTTTGTGTTGTTCTTTCTTTTTGACCTCGAAACTTTCCTTGAATCTCAACAGAAACATTTGCAGGAACATAGGTACCATCAATTGCTTCCACACAATCCTATATAAACATGAAAAAATAATTTATAACCTTTTCTTCTGAATGTAATTAATTAATTAATAAAAATATTGGTATTGTTTTCATACCTTAAAATAAAGAAAAAATCTTTTATTATTCATTATTTCTGCTGGAACTGTATCATCTGGATCTTTAATAAATTGTTTGTATAACTTAAGAATTGCTTTTAAAACAATTCTAAAGTAACGATGGATAGTTTCAACAGACCTATAGTATATATCATTAATAACCTGAAATCTTTGGTTATGGCCTACAATTTGTAAAAACACAATTACTTGCTCCTTAATAGACACATTTTGAGTTGATCGTAATAGGTCACGACTTGTGAGAACATCACACAATCTATATAAGATAGCAAGTTTCATACAAATTTGTTCAACGCAATGTCTATCACCTCAATTTAAAATGTTGTCAATATAGAATTCTCGTTGAGCAATTACATTTATACGTGGTTCTCTTGATATATAAATTCTATTTCTTTCTTGTTCAATAATAGCTACCCCTGTAGCTATCATAGTTACAGCTACTCTCATGCATGCTGTATAAATTATTTTACTATCCATAATATGAAAGTGAAGTTTTTTTTATAACAAAACCTAAAAATATAGGGAAATAAATATTAAAAAAAGCATATAAAATACTTACACAATTAATACAATAAATTATTCTCAAAGAAGCTAACAATATACAATTCATAAGTTCACAACGATCAATAAGAGCAATCATTTTAATTCTTAAAAATAATATGATTATCGAATAATTACATAAACATAAGTTTCAAAACTTACCTCGCATGCAGCAACACAACACACGTTCGAGTTCATAGCTAGGTTCAATTCTATTCTATTTTGATTTGTTAGTTGTAATCATGGAGATTGTTGAGTTTAGACACTAATAGGTAGGTAAGGCTAGTACATAATATTTGTATGATAAACAAACTAATTAACCCAATCATCAATTACAAATTAGAGAGATTTTATTATTAATCTCTATTTTTAGGGGAATAATACCTACTTAGAGTTATATTACATTATATTTCATTACATTACTAAACATATAATTTATAACTAAAATTACAAATACAGTATAATTAGTTCTCATGATTTGTATCGCGTTCTACTACAACCATATGAACAAACTACAACAGCCTATACCTTTGCTTTATAAAAAAACCTCATTGTTCCCCAGCTCTTGCATTGCAAGTATCTAACTCTCTCCCATAACTTAATTAAGACATCCTCATTCGGTTTCTCATAAATTCCCCTCATTCCCTTTATTCCCCTCTAATTCCCCAGTTTATTCGGTTTCTTAAATTCCCCTTCATTCCCCTCTCATTCAGTTTCTCTCATTCCATTGTCATTCCCCTCTCATTTTGGTTTCTCATAAATTCTCCTCATTCCACTATCATTCCCCTTAATCGGTTTCCCCTCATTCCCCTGTCATTCCC